CAGAAACCCCTTCCTTATCATAGCGGGATCAAGTTCAAGCCAGACATCTGCTATCCACTGGGTAACATCTTGCAGTATCAGTGTTCGCATATATCCACCTGCAGTAAATGTATGTTCACCTTCCAACAAACAGGTGTTCAATTTCCATCTTTCATTGGCTTGTTAACTGTCATGTCAAGCGGCTGCAACATTTTGGTCATTCTACCAGGAATAATTGCCAAGTCTGTTTTGTCCTGCTGACGCCTTTTCTTGATGGATGGCATACAATGACACCAAAATGCATCCATCCTTTAGGGTGAACACTCACGTGAATGGTGTTCGGGAATATAACATTCTTTGGCATTGTAACCGCTTTCTCATAAATCCACCTGGACGCTTTGCCCAAACCATCTGTAGCCAATCAAGCATTAAAGCTTTGTCAATCAAGTCTTCAGGGTGAACACGCACGTGAACGGTGTTCGGGAATATAACGTTCTTTGGCATTGTCTAGAGCTTGAACACAAAGATAAGGAGGCAACTTCGTTCCGTCCGCCATGCAAGCAAGCATTACGGTAAACCTAGACTTTTCATGACCTGTGGTAGCAATGGAGAAGGTCTTGGCACCTTTCACTTCAAGCGTTCTGTCGTAGGAATTATCGAAATTTAATGGTGTCTGATCTGTGTTACCAATTAATGAAAGGTCGTAGCAGTGCTGCTTGTGTAGTTTTATGATAAGCTTTTGGAACTGTAGTAACTTGGTATCTGAGTCCATGGGTAGCTTCTGTGCAATTTTTGTTCGGCATCGGACTGATAGGCCATGGCGATTCATGAACCGATCGCTCCAGCCATACAAAGCTTTAAACCTGGCTGTCTTAGCACACGTTTTGGCAATGGTCAAAGCCTTCATTCTAACATCCGCAATGCTAATACCACCGCTTTGCTTGGCCTCCAACTCAGGATATGCAGTGCTTTTACCTTGCTCAGCCATCTTCATCTGAGGCAGCACTTGCAGGCGCTCTTTCTGCCGTCTCCAAAGCCGCATGTTAGACTCTATGTCATCAAATTCACGGCTGGCAGCTCTGTTGCCATGAGCCTCAGCATAGCTAACAACTTTACGTTTTTCAGCAGTCGTGTAAGATTGCCGACAACTCATAGCATTCCAAAGATGGAAATGTCATGCACTATATAATCGTGTGCTCACACGTGATTACCCGACAAGACAAAAAGGCAAGACAAAAAGTCAGGGTGCTCATTATAGATAAGAGTTCAGTTTATTCCGGGATTCTGACGTTTAAAAGGTAGATGCGCATTATGCATTGGTGCGCATTATACTCGTGATTTTATGGTAATTCTGAATGATCTATTGATTTTCAGTAGATTATTTCTAGTGGCTCTTCAAGATATCTATGTTAAATTAGCAGACTTTCAAATTATTGCCTTCTGGGAAATTATACTAGCTCTCCTTTCGATCTTCTTTCACCCTGACTTGATCCAAAGCACTTCTCATATAAAAGAAACCAGGTAATTGAACTTAAGGGCCATGAGATTATTTTTCTAGTTGTTCTCAGTGGCAGAGAAACTGAAATTGACACATTAAAAGTCTGCTCCAGAGAAACTTATGGACTGCAGCACACCATCAATGACAATACACTGCTGTCATTTTTTTTTAAGAGATAGCAGTGTTGAGTCCCATTCATGCACTGTTTCTACAGTGGGATTTGCCAGCATTCATTAACTGGCACAAAATCCCAGTGAATGGCTCACAACCTATATTAGCATGTTGCTTTGCAGAATAGAGACCATTCGGGGGACAGGGAGGGGGAGGGAGAGAGAGAGACTACTGCATGTTGTATATCTTTTACATTTTTTTATTTTGTAATATTAACTACAGAATTGTCTTTAAAATCTTAGGATTATTTGTAGTGATACTTAAAAACTTAGAGTGTTTAACTCATATTGGCGATGGGTAATACAACAGAATTTGTTTGAGAAAATTTTTCTTTAAATGTGTACCTTTTATGCGATTACTGTAATTGCACTTACCTTAATTGCCCATTTTTAACATATCCACTGTTTCTAATTCTTGGATATATACTGTAACCGCCTCCATACTTTAGAAAAAAATAATTTTTTTTCTCCACTCCTTCCTTTTTTCTTTTATTGAATAAAATTATGTACATAGTATAAAATAGTTTGAGAATCTTGAGCGCAGCAAAAAAAAGTGAAATAAAAAAATGTGATTTAATGTAAACAATACTATTGGCTTAATAGATGTAACTTGGGGTGCAAAGAGTACCACAGATGAAGGGTATAAGAAGAAAAGGACTTAGCCCCCGTTAACTTAGTCGATAGCCAAACTACAGACAGGACTATCTCTGAAACAATGTTGAATGTGCACCCAAAAATTTAAGAAACCAAAAGGTCCCTAAGGTAACTAGAAGCAAGGCCTTCCAGCCAGAGTGAGGAATCAAGGGTGCCATTTTGGGTGCATAGAGGGGGCAGCAGCTGTACACTCCAGGACACAGCTAGCTTTTCATCCTGTTCCCAACATGCTAAGAGAGTGAGGGGGAAGTGCTTGCATTCTGTGCATCTCTCTCATACCTGGCTGCTGAAGGGAGCACACCAGCCAGGTGTGAGAGGCATGTGCAGAATGAAAGCACTTTCCCATCACTTGATTAGCATATGGGGAACGGGATGAAAAGCTAGCCGTGCCACAGAGCTCAAGGCTGCTCCCATCCATGCACCCAAAATGGTACCCTTGTGAGGAATGCAGCAAACTGTGCACTTTCCCGTCTCTCCCCAACAAAGGAGAACAGCCAGCAATGTTTCTGTACAAATGGTGGGGGAGCTTCAGCCCTCTCACCCCTCCCTAAAGGGTGCCTGGGGCTTGGGGGACTCAGATCTAAGGTAGGCACCCCCAGACATCTCCTTTCACCTCCCTATTGATTCTGTCTCTCTTTTGTGTGGTTTTATGAGAAGTAATTCCATTCTAGGCACATCCCATCTTCCTGGCACAATCAAACCTTGGCCTTGTTTTAAGTTATGATAGGAGGAAACTGTACACCAAATTTGGTGGTCCTAGCTCTTAGAGTTTAGGAGGAGTTCTTAAACAAACAGATGACTCACAACTCTCTCAAATATATAGTAAATTAGTACGTTATGTTAGGAATGTTTATTGCTAAATATATTTCAGTTAATATTAGAAAATTAATCAAGAGAGCAGCATAGAGTAGAGAATTTTAGTATTTAACCAAGATGAATTGAAAATGCAAACAATTTTGCAATTTATACTCTCTGTTTAAGACTAGCAGGGCACTCCTTACATGTTTTTACTGCTAATTAAGTGAGGGAGAAAATACATTCTCAACTTGGATTTATATGATTTCATTCAGACGGTATATAAAGCTGACTGTTTTAATGTAATAGACACTGATTCATAATATACTTTGACATAATTCAACAGTGGAATGCTACTTATTTACATCAGAAAAGATTCAACATTATCTCTGACCTAGATTATATTTTTTATGCTAGAGTAGCTGACTTACACTAAGAAATGAAGCCGAAACTCTACTTCACTTTAAAAAAAAAAAAAAAAAAAAAAGCTCTTTTTGCACATTTGTATAATCAAAATATTGACAGCTAACGGTTGGAAAAAAACAACACACTAGGAAATTATGCTATAAAAAACAGGCTAATTCTCTAGCTTCAAGATTTTTCCAAAGCTTTCTTAGAATATTCCTTAATCTTTGCTGTAGGGGTTATTGGTAGTCCTTATTGCCTTAGCTCTCTGTAATACTTGAGATACGATATACCATGAGATATTGTCTTCAAAACACACTTACTTTAGGTCATTTTTCTATACCTCTTTTTTTCCTTGCTCACCCATAGTTCCTTCCTTTGCTAGTTTAAATGAAACAATCCATAAGATGGGGCGGGAGGAAGGGGAGCGGAGGTGCAAATATAGACTGGTGTGACTCTAGTAAAAGGGTTACCAACCTTCCAAATAGGAAGAGTCATTTTTTGTCTTTGTCTTCGATCAAAATATTTTGAACCTTATCACACGCAAAGCTACTTGTACACATACACAAAGACAGCAGGTATACAACTGATGGCAAACAAATTCTGACTTAAATAAATAAAATAGTGATGGAATAAAGTGCATCTATTTAGGTTTTTCCCCTTGGGCATTTTTAACAGTTCAGTTTGACTGTACATTTTGTTGTCACCAAGACATTACATAGTGACCCATTCCCTTTCATATTTAATGAATTGGTTATTATCTTTATGTTAAATTATGTTTGAAATTGGTTTGGTGCAGGACGGAACTGATCTCGTTCAGGGAATTGGGGTACAGGTGGGAGTGAGGGGCTCTGGATGTTAGTTTGGGTGCAGGAGAGGTTTCTGATGTGGGACAAGCATTTGGGATGTGGAAAGGGGCATGAGGTGCAGGCTCTCAGCAGAAAACTCTTACCACAGGCAACTCCTACCTGGTGGCGCAACAGGATCCAGGTAGGCTGCCTGCCTGCCATGGCACTACAGTTCTGGAAGCAGCCAGCTGCTGGTAGATCACTGCTCATCCCTGAGGAGAGATGGGACAATGGCTCTTCATGCACTGCTTGCGCCCGCAAGCACAACCCCTGCAGCTTCAATTGGCTGGTTCCTGGATCTCCTATGGGAAGGCGCTCTGCTCTCCCTACAGTCATTGCACAGATCTCAGTTGTCTGCCCCATGAGAGCACTCTGAGTAATGACTGGTTCTTCTTCGAGCAGTGTCCCGTGGGTGCTCCACTGTAGGTGTCGGGCTCGTCCCGGCGCTGCAGATCGGAGATCTTTTCTAGTCGTAGTCTGCCGGACCACGCATGCGCGAAGTACGGCTCGTGGCTTTTCGCGCTGTTTGAGCGTTGATGGTCTGGCTCCCGCCAGTTCCTCCTGCCTCTTGCTCTGAAAGATACAAAGTATAGAAAACTCCGAAGAGGGGAGGAGGGCAGGTTGTGGAGCACCCACGGGACATGCATTCTTATGTAGTTAATAGTTCTAGTTGTTTAAACAAAAAAAAACCTTTTTTCTTCAGTAGTTAGTTTATTCTTCTCAAATGCCGGTGTTCAAGAAGTGCGGCGAATGCCGTGAGGCAATGCCTGCCTCTGATGGCCATTCCCTGTGCATTAGGTGCCTCGGGGAAGGCCATATACCCCAGAAATGTCCCCACTGCTCCAAGCTGACAGCCAGAGCAAGACGGAACAGGGACATGCGCCTAAAGATCCTTTTATTTGATAAAGCTCTGCAACCCGAGGCCAAACAATCCAAGGGACACACGGAGAAAACTAAAAAAATGAAGAGGAAACCATCGCCAGCGCGATCCCTTCCACCCTTAAGATCGGGTGCAGGTGACAAGCCAGGGACATCAACGGCACCGCCCGCAAGCATTGCGGTGGCGCCTAAAGACAGCCGGAGTAAGTCGGCTCCGAGCCCTTCTATATCGGGATCCACTGTTTCAGCCGTTCCCTCGGTCTCCAAACCGCTTCCAGGGGCTTCCATGGCTTCCTTAAGATCGGGTGCAGGTGACAAGCCAGGGACATCAACGGCACCGCCCGCAAGCATTGCGGTGGCGCCTAAAGACAGCCGGAGTAAGTCGGCTCCGAGCCCTTCTATATCGGGATCCACTGTTTCAGCCGTTCCCTCGGTCTCCAAACCGCTTCCAGGGACTTCCACGGCTTCGAGAACCGCTGCCGGTACGGAACGCTCCCCGGCACCGAGCTGCAGCCGCTCCCCGGCACCGAGCTGCAGCCGCTCCCCGGCACCGAGCCGCAGCCGCTCCCCGGCACTGAGGCGCATGCCCAAGCTGCCTGCAGAGCTGAGCCATTCCTCAGAACAGGAGCGTACTTCGGCACCGGCTCATTCTAGACGATCACCAAAACAAACGCCGAAACCTTTGACAAGGCAACGCTCGGTAACTCCTGAGCATCCTTCTCCTTCTACATGGTCGGCACCAAATCGATCATCACCGCCCATGAAGCAACAAAAGCTTAAACGTTCATTGGCACCTGAACGTTCCCCGTCATCGAGTGTACCGGTACCGAGCCACCCTTCGGCACCGGAAGGATCGTCACATCACAGACTTTCCTCAGAAGGATGTCCACCGGCACCGCGGCGGCCTTCTCCTTTCAGACTATCCCCGGAACTGAGACAATCGTTGGTACCGAGACAATCAACTGCGATGACGCGGACCACCTCGGCACGGACTCCTCCAAACCAGTGGAGATAATTCCTCACTCTGTGCTTTCCACTCCAACTTCCTCTCCACCAGAACAGTTGCTGGCACTACCTGCCCGTACATCCAGGAGACTATCTTCTTTATCACCAAGTCCTGAGTTCTCTCCTGAAGTACGTTCACCATCTCCGGCGTACTCTGAATACTCTCGTGCTGGCCAAATCTCACCACATTCTGGTCATTCCTACCACCATGATCGTCGTTCACCCAGTTGCAGCACATATTACAGAGGAAGGTCACGATCACCAAGATCGCCCGCGTTTTCAACTCATTCGGGATATTCTAGGAGATCCCGTCGTTCCACGTCGCCCTACTATCACCATAGGTCATCCTCTCATCAGCATCGGTCTCCTCAAACCTCTCTCGTTCAAAAGCACCAAGCTTCCTCTGCCCCTTCAAGGCCACCAACTCCCTCCGGGTCTCCTTCTCACACCGGACAACCTCTTCCTGTTCGGGATCCCGAACCTGATCAATCACCCACGCATCATTCTTCATCGTCACCAAACGATGCAGTTTTTCAAGGAGACACCTCACCATCTGACGACCTACGCCAGTTTCAGGAGTTGTTTAAGAGAGTGGCGGAGAGTCAAAGCGTACAGCTGGGTGACGTGGAACAAAAACAACACCATCTCCTCCGTAATATCAAACACACTCACCAGCCCAAGATTTCGTTGCCACTGGACGCGGCCATTCTTGAAATTGCGGACGATATTTGGCAGCTCCCGGCATCCGCCCCGCCGACGAATAAGAAGGCGGATAAAAAGTATTTCGTCCCTGCTAAAGGGATGGAATTTCTCTTTACCCATCCACAGCCTAACTCCTTGGTTGTGGATGCAGTACAGCAAAAGGCAAAGATGCCACAACACAAACTACTGCCGCAGACAGAGACAGTAAGCGTCTCAATTTATTCTGACGTAAATTTTACTCCTCGGCAACACTCACTTTACGAATGGCCAATTATTCCGCATTGTTGGCGAATCACAACTTCGACAACTACGCCAAGCTTGTACCACTGCTTCAACATCTTCCAGAGGCAAAACGAGACATTTTAAAGGCTGTAATACAAGAGGGCTACGCAGCCTCTGGAACGGCCTTACATATTGCCCTGGATACAGCTGACGCTGCAGCATGCACGACTGCTACATCAGTCGTTATGCGCAGAGCATCCTGGCTGCAACAGTCCTCTGCTCCCAAAGACCTCTTCTCGAAGGTCGAGGACCTACCCTTTGACAGGCAGAATCTCTTTTCTGATAAGACTGACCAACTTCTGCACTCAGGGAAGGACTCCAGAGCCACTTTAAAAACACTGGGCATGTACACTCCTCCATATCGTAGAAAATGGTATACCCCCTACCAAAGGCAGAGGCCCCCCCTATGACAATCTCCTCAGTATAGGCCTCAAGACCAACAAAGAGGTAGACAGCGGCAACAGCGGAGACGCCCGCCGCCCAAAGCAACTTCCCAACAGGGTACCAGACAGCAAGTTTGACGCGTCACTCGAGGGGTTGAGAACCATTCCCATCAGTACCATTCTGAGTGCTACGAAGGCGATATTTCACCACCGTCTGAGGCCGTACCTCAATCAATGGGCTTACATCACCACCGACAAATGGGTCCTTCAGACAATTCGCCTCGGTTACACCATCCCATTCACGTCGCTACCCCACCTATTTCCCCCTGCCCTGTCCCTTTTCAGGAACCCATCTCACGAGCTCTTGCTCAGGCAAGAAGTTACCCGTCTACTCGCGTTCTGGACGAGTTCAAGGGCAGAGGGTTTTATTCCCGGTACTTTGTAACGGAAAAGAAATCAGGGGGATGGAGACTGATACTAGATCTTCGCGACCTCAACCGTTTCTTACGAAAACAACGGTTTCAAATGGTTACCTTAGCTACAATCATCCCAGCACTTCAGAACGGGGATTGGTTCACATCCCTCGATCTTCAGGATGCATACTTTCACATTGCAATTCATCCGGCGCACAGACGATTCCTACGCTTCCAAATCGGTACAGACCATTTCCAATACAAGGTCCTGCCGTTCGGTCTCTCATCGGCTCCACGGGGTTTCTCCAAGACTCTGGCTTTGGTAACCACATATCTTCGTCGTCTACACATAATGATCTTTCCATACCTCGACGATTGCTTAATCAGAGCCCAATCGTTGCAGGAAGCGCGCAATGCTACAGAGACAACACGCATGCTCTTCCAGGAGCTGGGTCTCATTCTCAATGTTCCAAAGTCAAACAATGATCGTCACCAAACAATACAGTTCATAGGCGCTCGTCTAGACTCTATGACCGAGCGTGCATCATTACCGATGGAAAGGTTCCAGACGATGCAGGATTTGATCCAGATCTTGCTCATCAGTCCAACGGTTCCCATACTACGGTGCCTACAGCTTATGGGACACATGGCCTCCACAACATATGTGGTCAAACACACAAGGTTACATTTTCGATGCTTTCAGCATTGGATGGCACGAATCTGTCCCCCCAATGTACGAGATGTCCACAGGACAATAAATGTT